GAAGTGATTATATCGGCTAAGGAGTGGTTGGCTAGTAAGCATAGTTTAACCAGCCAAAACCGAAATAACACTTGAAGTAAATAGAAGACATTACAAGTGCAAGCATACACATCAAAACCGGAGTAAGAGTTGCGTAAAAATTTTCATTCAAAGAAAAGTCATTACAAAGGGGCATAGTTCGGTTACAAAAAAAAAGTAAAAAAGTAAGTACAAAATCAGGAAAAAAGTTCTTCAATATCAGCATCAAAACCTGCATCACCACCAACTTGAAGACCGGCTTCTGGAGGGAGCTCATTCACAATGAGGAGAGTCACTTCGGCTGGAACCACGGTTTCACTGGAAAGATCAACAGTTAGGTCTTCAACAGTGGGCACCGACCGGACTGGCTGGTCCACATTATCGACCGGAGTATCTTCAGAAGAGGAGTCATCAGAATCTAAGTCTTCCAGAAACTCTTGCTGCAGGGTATCGGCATACTCCGCAAGGGACTTCGGTATAAAGTAGTCTGGAGGTTGAAGACCTCGGTCTGTTGATCATGACCGAGCTGCTCAACAGCCGCCCTCCAGCCACATTTGAAGAACAACTCCTTGGCAGCATCGCATTGTTTCACATAGGCTTCCTCTGCCTTCTTGTAGCCCTGCTTGTAACCCTGCTTTTCGACTCCCTCCACACTCTTTTTTAGTTGGCTTATTTCGGTATCCTTTCTCTTTTCTAGCTTTAGCAGCTCACGCAGATATTTGTCTTTCATTGGATGGCTGCTTTCTGCTTCTCCGCTTCAGCCGAGCTAACCAGATCGGCAAGTCGACCGTTCTCTGCTTGAAGCTCGGTCATTTTCCTTTCGGCCTCCTCTAGTTCGGCCGCCTTTGCCTCGGCTTCCGCCATTGCTTGCCTTGTGGTTTTTCGGAGTTCTTGGACTTTCTTGTAAGTGATGTTGTTCTTCTGTAAGGCCTGACAAAACGAAGAGTCTCTTGAGCCGAAGTAAAAGTTGGAAAATTCAAACAAGAAAAAATGGACAGAGCTATTTACCAAAATCATGGACTTGGAAGCAGACCGAATTGACTTCATTTCGGTGTTCAATTGCTTTAAGTGGTGCTCCATGTCCTTGCGGAGGCACACACTTTTGGCCAGGTTAAAGGCCAATTGGTGATCTTTTTCAGCCACGACCGAGCCAGTAGCTTTGATGTCTCGGTCGTTGAAGGTCAGAGGCGGAGCCCACTTCGGAGATTCAGCTCGGACAGTTTGCTCCGGTTGGGGGGAAGGCTGAGGACTCTGGGGGATGGATTCAACCTCATCGACGAGTTGCTGTTCGGTCGATGTAGATCGGGCGCGTTTGGAAGGGCGAGATGAAGAAGGCCGTTGAGAAGGGAGGGCCACAACGGCAGGCTGCGCCTCAATCGTTGGTGGTACTTCGGCTCTGGTTGTTGCGGTCAGAAGGGCCCTAACTCTGCTTTTCTTTGCCATCTCTTCTTCAGCAGTTAATGGGACAAGTCGTATTTCGGGTAAGGTTGGGTCCGGTTCTGGTGCTTCCTCAAGAAGGAAATCGGTTACTCTTGCTTTTCGGCGACCGCTATATCGGTAGGTCGGTTCAAAGTTTAGAAGCTTGGCCCAACTTCTTTCTTTAATCCGTAGTGCGGCTCGCAAAATCGCAAGGTTGGGATAGCTATATAGGGAACGGAGGTGGGCGAAATCTGCAGGAGGAGAACTGTTAGTTCGATTAATAGACTAAAAAAAAACCGAAATAAAATACAAGAAAGAAGACCGAAGTCAAATTACCGGGTTCTCCCTTTTTCCAATTTATAGGTCGGCCAGGAATTTGGGCTTGAAAATCCTCAAAGTTCCCAGAGACCTAGAAAAAATCATCATCATTAAGATCTTTGTCCGGTGTGTGCTTAACTATCTTCTCTCGGCGGCGGCGAATCCTAAGGTAATAGACCCACCCAGCATCTTTTGAGCTGATGGAGTATTGGTGGAAAATTTCGGCCAGACTAAGGTTTAGTCCGGTTTGATGGTTTAGTGCGGCTATTCCCATAATAATGCGGTATGTATTGGTGGACAGTTGGGTGGGGCATAACCTAGTCTGCCTAAGAAATTCGCAGATCAACGGTTGGACAGGAAACCGTAGTCCGGTTTCTATTATGGATTGAAGGGTAAAAGGGACGAAGCCTTCATTTTCCCAAGGAATAACATCTTTTTTGGCCAACGTCAGATGGACGTCATCAGGAATTTGGTAATCTTTCCTAAATTCGGCCATGCCACCAGGGGTCTCAACTAGATACCTATACTTACCCATCTGATGAATAATTTACTTATAATTTATATCGGTGCAAAAATCGTGCTCAGTAGCTCGGTTGAGCGCACGCAGGAGTGCCTGGGTAACCTAAGTCTGCAAAGTAAAAAACAGAGGGGGTTAAAGCACTGATCAAGGGACCGTGCTACAATTTAAAAGCAAGGTATACGAGCCCTACTTCGGCCTCAAAAAAACTGGTTCTATCTCGGTCCATCAAAAGGTTTGGTAGCTCGGTTTGAACAGTTTGCTCGGTAGACCGGTTTAACGTCTAGGAGCAGCTTTCTGAGTTCGGTCTAAAAAACTAAGAAAGCTGGTTTAGCCCCAAGGCCTGAATCGGTTGTAGTATGAATAAAGTTACTTCGGTTAAGCCTTTAAGGGCAGCTTTCTGAGCTCAGTTTAGAAACTAAGAAAGCTGGCCTGGCCCCAAAAGCTTAGTTCGGTTGAAAATCGAGGTTCCTAGTTTGATATGTTCAAAACTAGGTGATCTTACTTCAGCTAAAGTGAGTCAGGCGTTGGTGACTCTTTGAGATTTTTATGTTCTAGTTCGGTTGATTGACTACAGTTATCTACTTATTTAGGGCAAACAGGATCCTAGTTCGGTTGCTGCCTAATTTTGGATCTAAGGTAAGGTTTTTACGGAAGTTCATGCACGAATGAACTATGCTATCATTTTTTTTCATAAGAGTACAGAAGCAAAAACAAAAAATGCACAAGTATGCTTCACCAAGACAGAGAAAACAGAAAAGAAGAAAGCAAAAACAAGTTTTTTCAAAACTTACCAGAGGGAAACAAAGGCAAAGAAGGGAGAATGGTAGCAAAACCACAGCCTCTTCGAGTGCAACGGAAGAACAGCTAGAGCACACAGAGGGAAGACGAAGAATATGAAAAGTGTAAGTGAATGATTCAAGAGTAGAAAAGTTGTTTTGTGAAAAAGGACAGAGAAGAGGCGGCAAAAAGAGGCGGGACTGTTCAAAAAGTTCGAAGTACGAAGGCGGCGTGATAACAGCTCACAACCTATCAGAGCCCGCCACGTGGCAAGGGAAGGGGAAGCGTTACAGTCGTGATTAAAGAGACGTTTTGACCGGATAAAGCAGAGCTCGAAGTAGAACTAGCTCGGCTGGATACGCTGAAGGGTTTTTTATCTCGGCTGGAAAGGCTTGTACAACTTCAGCTCGGTTGAAGGATTTGTAATCTCAATCATGCTATGCAGATGAAATTAAGGGGCAATTGAGAGGGTAATTTTTGGGAAAGAATTGGGCCGAGCTGTGAGTTGGGCCCTGCGGCCCAAAATGTGAAGAAATCGGTAAGAAGCCGTAATGTTATTTCGGCCCAGTAGAGGTATAGATACTCCGGCCCAGGAGAAGTGAAGTCATTCCGGCCCAGGAGAGGTGTGGTTACTCCGGTTCAAGAATGTGTAAAGCAACTCCGGTCCGGTGGCAATTTGAAGTGAGTCCGGCCTTGCAAAAACCATTTCTGAAAAAAGGCAAACCAAACAAGTTTTCGTACTTTTTTATCTCAAAACTACTCTACAAATACAAACCAAACACACCCGTTGTTTTTGAGAAATTTTGGGAAAAATAAAGAGCTTGTTTGGTTTGTATTTGAGAAACATGTTTTGAGATAAAAAGTACGAAAATTTGTTTGGTTTGATTTTTTTTCAAAAGATGTTTTGAAAAATTATTTTGAGAGAGAGTTTTGAAAAAAATG